GCCTGTTCTTGATTTATGCAAAAATCCGATTGAATCAAGAGTATTTTTTCTTGTCGATGTTTTTAAGAGTCTGGACTCTAGATCCAATGTGTGTTTTTCCAGTGATGGTAAAATACACTGAAAATATTTGAAAACCTCAAGACCACGTAATTTTACTTTAAAGATCCCATGAAACTGTAATCTCCGTGGAGTAATACAACAAATTCTCTTCTGAACTCGAACCGATGAGGCATCAGCCTATATTTCATTGGTGGTATTCTTTAAAATATATATTTGTTTCGATTAGTGATCATGAGAATCAAAAGGTCAGATTCAGTTGTGCACGAAGTAGTAACTGAACTTATTTTTCCGCCATTCATCAAAGGTGGAAGCGAAGTTGCATGTCCATTTAAAGCTTCCTTTTAGCGCTCTGGTCACGCGATACAACTTTGCAAGATCCATTGAGTATTCCCAGTGGCCAACCAACTGATGAAACTTCTCAATTTTTGTGAACATTTGACAATGCTTATTCTGTCCTTGCTGTGAGGGACGTGTATTTCAGCAGAAACGCAATAAAAAAGAGGATAAGAGAAGAGAATGCAGAGAGAATGGTTTGTAGGTTGAAGGTCTCTCCTCGCAAATAATTGTAAGCCATTTATTTTTATACATATACATTTATTTTTCTTTCGAGCCCGTAAAATGTGATCTGCCAAGTCATGAGAAAGATTTGAAAATTTAAATGCATGGCAAAAACTGAAAAAATAAAAAATATTGCAAATTACTGCAAATTTTTACGAAAGTCATCTGATGATAACCTCGGAAAATGCCTATAAAAAATTCTTCGAGCGATCTCATGGCTGTAACCAGGAGGAATAATATTCCAGTTTGATGTTCTGCTTGAACTACGGATGGGATTAATTTTTTGGTATTCAAAAGATACAAAGTAACGAGGTCTGTTCATTTTAATTATTCAATATCAGAAACTGCTGGGGATTGAAATAATGATTATATAAAAAATTAGATGTAATATATAATATAATAAGTAACTTAGAGAAAAATACGTTAAGAAATGACTAGAACTGTACGTAACTAAGTGGTGAGATGGTGCAGGGCCCACGCCATTTCCATAACGAAGATTTGTAACTTTTATTCAAGCTCAACAAAATTCACAAATAGCCCATAAAAAGCCTCATTATCGTCTGAACGATCGCAATAGACGCCCTACGTATATGTACCCTCTGTGCTTTGAAAGCTCTAAAAAGGTGAAAACTGATTCAAGCCATCCAAACGGCATGCCTGTTCGTAAAAACGAGGAGAAGTCATACATATAGAGATATTTCGCAATTTCTAAGCATTCAATTCCTGGCTGATTTAGTAAGTCGTTTCTTTCAAGCCTTCTTTTTACCGAGATCAATTTTTGCAACTTGCTTGTGCGCATTTCCCCCCTTTTTTTTCGATAAAAGTAAAAAACTATTATCCACCGATTAAAGAGTTACTTTTTCATAAGGATATTTGAAATTTTGCCAGTAAAAGTCAATCTATGCAGCGCGGCTGCACAAAGTCAAAAGTTCAACGATGTATTTACGAAAATCAAAATACAATGGTGGCAAATCGCACGTGAAAAATTCTTAATACAGACTGATGAAGATTCACTCTGATATCACTCAGTGGCGTGGCGTTCTTTGCGATATATCGATTGTTATGCCATTTAAACCTATGGAAAAGGATCGATAAGCAGGGTGTGCGCAGCGAACACCTTAATAATCGATTCTTTACTGTAGGTTTAAATGGCATTACAATCGATAAATCGCAAAGAATAGTCAGAGAGCCAGACGACTTTGAGTGACAAACTCGGGATACATGTTTTGACCCCCTAAATCGATAGCCTTGCATGCACTGAAACGGAAAATTTTTGTCTGCCGCCCTCTAGCCTGTGCCATCACCCTCATCTAGGCCCTCAAAGTGGTCCAAAAAACACCATCTGGTGACAAACTCCTGACGCTCAGCAGACAAGTCTATTATTAAAGATCATACCCAGGGTGACTANATAGGTTTAAATGGCATTACAATCGATAAATCGCGATTCACGCCACGCTTCTGATATCACTCATCCGGCGGCAACGTCGTTGTGCCTGACCATTACAAGCGGAGCAACAGTGCACCCAACGCAAGAACTAAATTTATGTGAAAAGTTTCGTCTTTCAAGACCGCGGAGACGTGGAAGCTGGAAAAAAGAAATTCCTTATCATCTTGTCGTTCATTAAAAGTTCCTTTCATAAATAACCAATCTACCTTGTTTAAAATGTCGGGGTGCACCGCATCCGAGTCCTTTTTTTATCTCGTTACTTTTCGCCGCATCAATATTCGCGGTCTGTTCGGCGGAGGAAAACACCATCAAGGTTCCTGGGCGTGGCCGGCGATGCACATGTCGTCGTGTCTCTCACGAAAGAACGTAACTGCATTCCAGTATTGCCAAATTTCTCGTCGGAAATTGCACTTTTAACGTTAGAATCTTAGACATTTTTTACTGAAAATTTCACCGATTTTTTTATCTAATCTCATGCGAAAATCAGACAAATTTTGAACACAAGTTTTACGAGTAATTTCCTGTCAAAAATGAATTTTTTGAGTGAATTCGGCAACCTTGGAATAGACTTATGCCCCTCCGTGAGAGAGACGAAGATATCTGGGGCGAGGATAGCAGCTCCCTCCGAATGCAGCGAATGCGAAATGCAAATCTGTCGGGAGGGGTGAGGACGTTTAACAGAGTGAGAAAAACACCTCCGTTCAAGATATCGTTACAGCTGCGGCGTTGGGGCAACTAGACCAAAATGCTCAGGAACTCCGTTCCCTGGCGCGAGATAGAAACCATTATGATGCGCTAGACTAAAAGGAGTTTTGTGGAAGATGAAAGATAAAATAGAGGATGGATCCAAACACGTATCTTAGGTTGTGGTGTTGTAAAGTAGCAATTTTCTACACTCGCGAGGCAAAATTTAAAACTATCGTCCTGATAAAAAAATATATGTAACAATAAATTACTATCCTTAACCAAAAATATTTCCTTCCTAAAAATAAAAGAGGGTAATTACGCAAAAAATGGTCACTTTCGATGACACAAGGCTCCTGCCCTTTCTTTGTTGTACCTAGAGAACTTTTCTGTTCTGAGAACAGAACTCCGCCGGTCGTGAGCACTGAGTACTCTGTCTTTATAACGGAAACTTCTGTATAGCTGTAACAAAGAAAGTGCAAGAGCCCCATGAACAGATCTATTTTTTTTTTCAGTATACTTGAAATTTAGAGTACCAGTTTTAAAACTTGCGGTTAAAAAACTAGATTGCTCAACTTATTTTGATAATTGTACAGGAGGGTAGGAGCCAAATTTCCTCCTATGAAATGTTTATTTTTGAGGAAAATTTTCAATATTTTTCCTTGAAATTTGAAGAATTGTCAGATCAAATTACAAAAAAAATTATCTGAGAAAATGGAAGAAAAATGTTCTTAAATTTTCTGGAAAATTAGTGATTTGTCGGAGGAAATTTGGAAACGCCTGAAGGCTCATACGGCGTTTTTCTTCAGCACGGTAGAGTAGTTTGTAATTGCAAAATATAGCCCAACCGTAAGAAAAAGCGAAGGTTCCACGAACCTTTTGTCATTGACCGCGCTCAACTTAGAAGAGGGTCTAGAACAAATGCTCCTCAATTTACACAATTCCAAGAATAATCCACTTCTTTACCGCGCGAACTTCCAAAAATTTAATTAATCCAAACCGCGAGTGCTCAAAGGAACAAATTCTCGAGTGTTATTTTCCAGCTAAGGAAAGGCAATCGCCCGTCAGTGATTCGTCGGACGAGGCTGCCTAAACGCGCTTCTTATCGAAGGAGTCGAGGAAAAACCACTTTCTTAACGTTACATTCATGTTGGAGTTACGTGTCTCCAACTTAGTAGGTGAACGAAATCCAGCCGAAAGCGGTAGTTTTTAACGGGATATGGCGGCAATGTTGGCAGGAAGCGAACGAATTTTCGCCAGAGCAACTCTCCAGGAGTTAGCGAATAGATTGACTCCATTTTCTGAGGGCGTGCTGGATTTCTTTGAGAGTATTCGGATTATGTACGGAGTGCTGTGGCAAATCCGTCGGCTATCAATCACTCCCAGAAGGGATCAATAAGTCCGTGTCTTTTGTTAGTTCATCTGAAAGAATGATGCTGTAACCTGGAGCGCCCAAAGTTTTCAATTAGTTACCCCGGGTAAACCCGGCTCTCCCCCAAAGCTAAATATCCGACATTAAGTTCAGGGTTAATGTTTTGAAAAAAAAATATGTATACGCATTAATTTAATTTTTCAAGTGTGCTCAGTGCTTTGCCTGTAATTTAATTTTCAGGGCGCTTTAAAGTTGGATTTTCGCAAGGAAAATCGCGCAAGATATAAAAAATGTATCGAGTCCACAAGAATTACCCAGATGGAGCGAGGGGATTCGAATCGTCGTTTCTGAGACGAAAGGACGTAACTAAAATTCAAAGTTGCCAAATTCCAATTTGTAAATTTACTTGTAATTCGACACTGTTGGGTGTTTCTAATTCAAAGTTTTGATGATTTTTCTTTGGCTTATACGCTAAAACTAGCAAAATTTTGGATATGAATTGCGTAGACATTATCTTGTAAAAAATTGAGTTTTTTGAGTGAATTTTTCAACCTTCGAATGGAGGTACGCTCTTTCTTCAGCGATGAGCATAGAGTCCAAGATCTTGGACAAGATGCGCGAGTAAGTTTATCAAAGGTGAAAATGGAGTCCAATATCTTGGTCATAATCGTTTTCGTTACCACGAGAGCGTAAAATACAGGAGTCGATAAGAAATGGATTTCACACGTATTGACTCTCACCACAAAGGGTCTCAATTCTCATCTTAATAGGATGATTATTTGTATCTGAATGGATTGACAATCTCAGTTTCGCTAAAGATAGCGATTTATGTATAATTCTTCGCCAGTCTCTCCAATTGACTAATTTTTTTGTTCACAGGTTGGTAATACGCTGATCATAACAGCGGTGCTAACGACCCGGCGACTACGCACTGTTACCAACTGCTTCGTCATGTCTTTGGCGGTAGCAGACTTCTTGGTCGGGATTTTCGTTATGCCGCTGGCAGTAGCAGCCTACCTAATGGGTAAGAACGCATAATTTATAAAAATATGTAAATGAAAATAAGAGAATTAGTTGGGTTTTATGTAATGTTTTATCATTTCAAATGACAATAATTCCAACAAACTTTACAAAAACTTCAAAATCATGAGTTGAAAACTACCGACGCCGCAAGTTTTACAAGTTTAAATAATCGCATCAAATACAGTGCGGCCGGCGCAGCGCGGGACTGGCGCGTACAGCGCGAACGCATTGTAGCGCCTTACAAGACCGCAGGATACTTCATTCATTGCGCGTACAGTACGGCGCGTTCGCCGCATCGTATAGCGCCTTACAAGTCTGCAGGATACTTCATATATTGCGCGTATACCACGGTGCGCGCTCTGGTCGTTGAAAAGTCTTATTTTCTTGGTGTCAAACGTGATGTTGGCAACCTCAATATAAAACAACGTAAAAATTGATCCTCTTTGAACGGTCATAATGTCCTGACTACAACCAATAATTCAATTGTAAAACTTTTAAAACATTCTAACAATAGGCAGAACTTATAAATTATGACTTATTCCTTTCTACAATAACTTAGCCGTTTTTAAACTAAAAGAAAAAAAGAAAAATTAACAATCTTAAATGTTTCTACGGATCGGGGTGTTTTCTTGGAAATTTTAAAACCGCTTAGTGCAAAAAAAAAAATAAAAAAAAATAAAAAAAAAATAAAAAAAAAACATATAAGATTCGGCACAAAAATCATTGAAAATTACAGAATACCCCGCCGGCCGTACACTCTACATCAAAACGAAATCTAAAGCATGCCAACATATATGTAAGGCATGCTAAAAATATTAAGAATAAGAAAAAGTAGAAGAGCCTTGATAATGATAAAATAAAGGAAGATAAGGCTTTCTTCTTTTTCTCCCTCTTCGTTCAATCTTCCTCTCCTTATTTATATCTGTATTTATAGACATCATAATGTTGATTTTCCTAGAGGTGTAAATGGGCACCTCGTAAAAATAAGCTCATTCTACTACCACCCTCTGCTTATTCTCCTTTTTATTTTTCTTCTCCCTCCTCGTTATCTGCTTTAAATGACGAAGACACAGGTCTAAAAAGTTTAAGCCTGTCGGACAAGGCTTGGTTTTAATTTTTTACGCGGACACTCGAAAGACTTCACTGCCGTGCTAGGTAGGAACGCCGTATGAGCCATTAGGCGTTGCCAAATTCCCTTCAAAAAATCACAAATTTTCTGAATTTTTCTTGAAAACTCCCCCTCCGATTTTTTTACAGGATTTCGTCCGTTATTTGATCTAAAAAATCTGAAATTTCAAAGAAAAAATATTCTTAACTTTCTTCAAAAATAAATATTATTGAAGGAGTAATTTGGCAACATTCGAATGGTCATACGGCGTTTTTACTTAGCAGGGCAGTTCACGTGGAAAAACACGACTAAAAACCGGTTAAAAGCGAACAAAAGCTCGACTTTACCCAACGACGAGTCCCAGACGGCCACGTAATGAACTTTCCAAATGCTGAGAAATACGTCCCGAAACACAATGGTATCCCGGAGCAATTCCGGGCAGAAAAGGTCATCATTAATGTAGGTTATTTTACTAGCACCGACGACCACGGCGTCGCACAGTGGACCAAGTCAATCAGAAAGGTCGGATATTAAATTTTCGACTGAAACTACAAATTTTGATGTATATTTCGTCAGATTTTAAACTTCAAGGAGTGCATTTAGAAGAAAATTTCACGAAAAAACCAATGGAACCACTTTTAGAACCTCAAAGGTATGAATGAAGGGAGTTATAAGCGTTTAAAGTTTTCAAACTTTGTCCGACTTCTTCCATTGACTCGATCCACTGTGCGTCGCCGGGATGAAACAATAAACGGGCCTCATCGGGACTCCGCGTTGACCCTTGTCAAGACAATAACCTTATGAAAGCTCTGGAGATTCGGAAGGATTATATCACCCCCCCTCCCGCGGCGACGCCCTTTCGGCAAATGGTTCTGACAATACTTCCCCCCACCCCAAGGGTCACTGTTCCCTATCCCGTCCCAGCCCCCGACCCATCGACCCTCGAAAACTCTTTTTCGAGGGTCGATTATCATCGGGTGATGGTTTGTTTAAGCGCCCCTCCCCTCCGTTGACGTGTAATGAGTGGGGCAAAACACAGTCCGAGTGAAAGTTTAACCCCCTTTTTGGGTGGCAACTCGTGAGGAAATATTTTAGAGGTTTTGCACCAACAGTCCGCAGCTTTGTATACTTTCGAGGGTTTAAATTTTACGTTACCGATTGAGAGCGTGTTGAATGGCTTGTTTGTCATAGTTACAAGGCCGCTTTTATGTGCGAAATGTTGTCTTCGAGTTGTTGTTGATGGGCTACAGGTACGCGAGTTGCTTTACCTCTACAATAATGGAGAAGTTGCATGCGTGAGGAATTTGCGATTTGACTGTTGATTCTTACGTAAAAGTTTGCGAGAAACACGATGGTGCCACTGGTTTTCTCTGAAATTAACTCCCAAGCTCAAAAAAAGCTCTCAAGTTGAGGCCAAAATGGAGGGGGTATCCCGCGCTATCCTGAGAGTCCACGTCTACAGCAAGACAAACTCTCAATGCAAAGATAGGGCGCAAATACATTAGCAGTGTTGCCGTGTTTTCAATTTTAGAGTCCCCAAATAAAGTGGCAGCCCTGTCAATGTATTTGCTCCCTATGTTTACATGGAGAGTTTGTCTTGATGTAGAGGTGGACTCTCAGGATAGCGTGGGATATCTCCTCCATTTTGGTCTCAACTTGAGAGCTTATTTTGAGCTTGAGAGATGATTTCAGGGAAAACCAATGGTACCATCGTGTTTTTCGCGAACTTTTACATGGAAATCAGTGGTCAAATCGCAAATTCCTAACACATGCAACATCTCTTTTCAGCAAAGATGTTATACGTCGCTGGTCGTTTGCGGTGTTTAAAAATCTCCACTTCAATTTTATTTATTCGAGGGAGATCAAATCAATATATTTCCTTGTTCACAGGATTTTTCTTTGCTTAGAGAAGAAAAGCATGGAAGTTTTCAAGAACTGACGTTAAGTATAGTTTTTCATTTATAAAAATACAGTATGACAGGAAGTCTTGCAACGTCGCAAACCGGGATACGTGGTTTGGTTGTTTCGCACCGTCGATATGCATGATGATCTTTGTGTGAGCAGGATAGTAAAAAAGCTGGTGAAAGCATGAACTTGTCACAAAAAATTTAAAAAATGCGTGCAAATATGATGCATATTTTGAAAGTTTTGAAACGAACTCTGTAACTTTTCAATAAATATCTCCAACAACTATCTAATATATGTTTCGATATTTTAGGTATTTAAAAACAAATCGCTTCATTGAATTGTTTACATCATGCATCTGAGACGTGTATTTAAAATAGTATTGGAAGAAGCTTTCTGGAAAATATCATCTCTTTTTTAAGTGCTTTAAGGAGCCATTAAGTTTGATATTTTCCCTCCGGGTTTGGATTGACAGGTGGACAGGGAGAGGGGGACAGATTTCTTACTCATCAGCTGTTATTAACAGTTTTCATGAATTTTTTTATTCGAAAGTAAAATTTTGATCTACGGAAAAAAATTAACAGGTCTTGTTTTAAAGTAGTAATATAGATATAAATTATGACTCTGTATATCCCAGTTATTACCTCTTTGGCATTTGTGAGCAATTTTAACCAATCGCTGTAATTGTCAACTCAAAGCTAGAAAATATTAGCAATTTGGTGACAGTTTCAAGTACAATTGACGCGAAGGAACTAGACGGGAATATACAATTCTGAGTAACGCTTCAAAGCCCAAGAGCGAGGCTTAAAGTCGATAAAAGCTGCTAATGAAAAGCTGTCGCCAAGAAACCGAGAACTTTTGATTATAAATACTTTTAATTTGCTTTCGCCAGCTCGAATCAGTGTTTGCAGAGGGACTGGGGGGAATTTGCCGACGGTTTAAGAAAGAAAGCGAGAGAAAGTGCAATTGAACAGTTTATTTGCAGAAAGGCGTGGGAGCAATTAAATTGTCGTGGCATTTGCGCCTTTTTTCCAAACAATCCGTTCAATCATAAAATGTGCTCCAGAGGGGGAGGGAGGAACGCTTGAGGGATCGGAACAGATTATAAATGAACAGGTTCGTTTGAGCGCCATTAAAAGTAGAAACCTTTAGAGCCGGCAGATAAAGTCAAAAGGGAGAATCCCCGTTCGGGACGGTGACGGATGGGATCAATTTTTTCTCCTTTTCCTTTCTCGCCGACTTTTCGCGAGATTCCTGGAAAAGCTGCAATCTTAAAGTAAGTATTTTTGCAGGAGCTTTAATAAATGATCTGGTGCTTGACTGTTCGACGGAAGGGGATTTGTTTTTCGATGATAAATTCTTCTATTCGACGCGATTGAAAATAAATAAAGTTCTAAGTCTCTCCTAAGGGAGTTGGACTTTTAGGCAAATGGTTATGTCAATCGCGAGGATTGGGGGATGGATTATGAAACATTTAATTTCCCCGTAATATTACGATAAGATACAGGGTGATTGAAATGCCTGCGAAATTTATAAACAAAGCGATAGACAAGGAGGACATACGGAGTATAAAGCGATCCTATTAGTTGAAATAGGTCGTTCTTATAGACTGATGGGGTAAATGAAGGAGATCAAAAGTCCTTGAACCGAGGTAGAGAAAATTAATTTTATGGAGATGGGGAGAGCAAAGTTTCAACGAATCTAAAAAAATTTCTTAGAATGGCGTAGTGGGAGGAACCAAGTGAAGATGAAGCAGCTGCAGCAGTGCATCATGGGGGAAAATCCCCCATTCTCTGAAATGGACAACATTTTGTATGTAACTAGGAACCCCAACGCTTGGCTCATCTGTAAGAGCACTTATGTGTATAGAGAAAATAATGGTAAATAAGTTGTTTCTATACCGACCCAGAAATTGTAGTTTCTAATCGTCAAATGTAGTGTAAATCGCAAAAAGACCTCTTCTTGGCCAACTAACAACAATGTGTTAG